ACCCCCTTTATCATTTCCATCATCAGCATTCCCTTTTTATTTTTGGCTCCATTTTCCTTCAAACAACCCTTTTTTCGTCCATTTCCTGTTTGGCGCCATCTCCTGTTCGACCGGAAGGGCTTACATTCCTTCCCTCCCTGGGTGGTCCCAATTCTCCCTATTTAAACCTACTATTCCTTCAGTCGGGGTCTTCTTCTTCTTCTTGGTCTTCTTCTTCGTGGTCCTCGTCTTCGTTTCGGCCCCAGCTTCGTCATCATCGTCCACGCAGCTTCATCCCCTCACGCACAAGCCATGGCTGTCCTGGGTATTGCTGTACGTAAGTAACTCATAAATATTTGTTATTTTTTTTCCTTTGGGACTCATAAAGCATAAAACGATCTACGCACTTTCACTTTTATATCGATCCACCACTCTTTCACTCGACTTAATGGACTGAAATATTCCTGTTTACATTTTTCAGTTTTATTTTCCGAATCATTTTCTGTATAAACGGATTTTTATACAGATGGATGATTCAGTCTTGTCCCCCGAATCTATAAATAAAATTTCGGTTTTTCTACATAAATGAGTATGATTAATACAATCAGTTCCTGTTATGCCCAAAATCCTTTTAAAACAATTCATATTCTCTTAAATCATTGCCTATTTTAGCTTTTACCAAATAATTTGTTGGATTTTATTTACTGATTGTTACGGTGCTCTGGTAATCAAGCATGATATTTACGGTTTTTCTGGTCCCCCTCGCCCCTCTTTCTCCTTGTTTCAATAATCTTAGAGCCTTTTGCAGATATCTGATTAATGATGCGTGTATATTGGCAAAGAAGCCATTGGTATCCGGGAGTGTTGTCCGTTGGATGGGGCAACTCTCAGTGTACGGCTATGGTGAAGTAAGTACTTTTTTTGTCCTTTTCGCTCTCAGATGCTTCGTTTTCGGCTTCTTTCTCTTTATTTTCCGATTTTTCCCAAAATCCATGCTTCGTTTTTCGCTCCTGAATGCTTCGTTTTCGGCTTCTTTCCCTTTTTATTTTCGAATTTTTCCCAAAATTCCTTGTTGCTCTTGCCACGAACATTTTTTATTTTCACTCCTAGATGCCTCAGTCTCGATTCGTTTCTCTTTTTATTTTCAGATTCTTCCAAAAATTCATTTCTGCTGCTGTCGCGAACGAAACCTGTTTTGCGACGGGGAGGGGAGGGGGGGGGGTGAAAATCGAGCATTTTATCATCATTATTTTTGAATTATTCGAATTGTAACTTAACCGCCACTACAGTTCCAGTCCCGTGCTCCACAGGTAATACTTAGGATGGTGTGCCACCCTAGTACACTGCCTAAATTTGTTATATTACATGCCTAAATTTGTTATATTCCACAACCCTAGTACATGCCTAATTTTGTTTTATTCCACAATCAATGCACCTTTCTCCGGTTCTGACGGTTTTTCGCAAATATGCGCGATTGCTTCTGTCTCTTCGGCTTTTCTTCAGCGATCTAAATGAAGCCTGTATGTGGCAGATGATTTGCAGGATTGTCCATGTTATCGCTGCGTATTCCCTCATCCGCCCAGTGCCGATGCTGTGACGAGTTGTTCTGATAGCGGGGTTATCGGCCCAGTGGTTGGTATCATCGGTAGCATGCAGGCGGCTGAAATCGTTAAAATCGCCACAACCGAAATGAGTATGTTTTAATGGCTGTTAATGGCATACCTACAGGAAATGAAATTATTGCCTGGTGCATGTGAGTGCTTTGATTTAGGCTCATTCGCTGGCACTTTGTTCGTATACGACGGCTACACTGCTTCATCGAGATCGGCGGTGCTACGACGACGTGCAACAGATTGTATTGTTTGCGGTGAAAAGCCACTGATTACGAAGTTGGAGACGTGCTACATACCGAATGGATGTACTGCTACCGCTAATGATTGCGAAAATCAGGTAATGATCAGATTGAAATTGGACCGATCGGGTCACCACGAACTTTCCTGTGTGTAGGGCTACACCTCAAACTCAAAAAAAAGCAGTACTTTGCTCAATCAGTAGGATGATGAGGGGCCCGGATTCCAGCCGACAACGCGGATTCTTGCGTCGTTCATTTGT